AAAACCAAATTAATTTTCCCCGAGAAATAACTGGAGTGCAGTGGAAGCCATTGAGCAGGCATTTACTTCTCTGGACGCTGTCTAAGGGTCTTCTTGGTGTCCAGTGTTGCGCAGAGCAAGGAGGGACGCGGGACAGAGCCATGTCTTACCCCAGGAGGAGTGAGCGGAAGGAGAGAAGAGAGCACTAGGAGATGTGCCACGGGGAAAGAGATGTTTTTCCTCTCTCAAGGTTGTGAGAAAAGCTAATGCAAAGGCTGAGAATGGAGTGGGGGACAGAGCTTGTGGTCCATCAACTTTTCCAAACTGGTTTTAATGTATAGTAAGTCGGTGTGCGTGCGAGCGTGTACGCGGCGGGCGCGAGGTGACCTGGCGGGGTTAGGAAGATGAGCCGTGGTGTACACTGTAATTTCCTCATTCACGTTTATTGCAGTAAAACATGCTGAGGAAACGCTGTGGTATTGTGAAGCAAGAAATGCGGGACAGCTAATCGCAAGGAGGAGCCTGCTTTATTTTCTGCTTTTCTTTACTGGCTATCATGATTTACAAGGTAGAAATGTGAAAAGCCAAACCTGCTTTCCAGGACACAGAAATGTGGTGAAGATGCCTCTGAGTGTCAGAGACAGGGCTTTATTCTCATAAGTGCTTTTTTGCCTGTGGGCTCCATTCAGTCATTAAAGGCAGGGGCTCAATAACCTGTGGTTATTAGGTGGCAGCAAGGAAGGCAGGAACTTCGCCATGGGGTACAACAAAAGCTGGATCTTGAGGAATGAAAGCGAGCATGCCCCGTACCAGGCTGTCACCAGAGCTCTGGAGATGAGGAACACCTCGGCTGGGCAGATAGTGTGGCAGGGTGGGAACGGCAGCGAGGCTGGCACCGCGGAGAGCGAGGAGCACGGCGAAGAGCAGACCTACAGGCATTTCACTACCACTGTGCAAATTGTCATCTTCGTAGGGTCTTTGCTGGGTAAGTGGGTGTTGCTGGAGTTTTTTGTTGATGTGGTTTGTTTATCCTTATGGCCAGGGACTGCAGACCAAACAGTAACAAGCATAATTTTCTGCCTTAGTGGCTCTTCTTCTTGCATTTTAGGTCCTCAGCTGTATGATTTCATGTTCCTTGTGGATTTCTGGTGTGTAAAAGCTATTACTATAAAAAGTTAGCTATTCATCACAGATGAGAACCAGTACATTATATGTATGTATCACTTTGTAAACTTTTCTATCAGAATTTAAATGGGCAAAAATTTAATGGGTAAAAATTTAATGGGTTGATTTTCAACTGTAATGGGATCTGTTCTCTTTACCATAGAAAAGGGTGTGGAGTGTTTTAAACAAGTTTTACTGAATTTCTGTTTCACACTGCAGTAATTCTACATTTCGTCCTGCAGATTTCAGATGAATCCTTTGGAAGTACTTTATGCTGTAAACATATATAACCACGTGCAATCTTGCCTACTTGTTATACTTAAATTAGGAATCATACACTTTAGATATGTGGTAGTAAACGAATAATATATATGGCCATATAACTTTACAAATGTGTGTACGTTTGCTTTCTAGGTGCTTATAGTACATTGTTTTGTTAGGAATACATGTGAATTTCTTACCCCCTCCAAAAAAAAAAAAAGGCAAAATAAGCCTTTTGGTGAGTCAATTTAGCACTGTTTGGGAGATCAGTAAGCTGGATTTCAGTAAAATGCTGCTACTGTCTAAGTCATTCAGAGCTAGTTACTGGAAATGATGATGAGGCTTTTCACACAGGGCTTGGCTGAGAAAGTCTCCAGCTCTCCTAGGTGAGTTCAATAGGACTTTGCTAATGGTCATTGGCACTTATTATCAGGGATTTGTTTTTGGTTTTCCTGATCTTGAGTAATGCTAAAATCCATTTCTGTGGCCATGGTAATTAATTCTAATATGGATTTCCTCTTGGTAATATTTAATATCACTTAAATAATTTCGAAGAAGATAGTAAGCATAGTCTTGAACAGCGTTGAGCTCTGGGCTCAGTTAGCGATACACTTACTGGTTATTACTGTAATCACTGAGTCTTTTGGCCTCAATTATTCTTCTGTCCAGTGGGGGTAATCCTCATGGTTCTTGCTTTTTTTCTATTTAGCGCATAGGTAGTATGGGGAAAGGACTCTCTTTTTCTGTATGTTGGATAGTGCCTGGCACAAAATGATAGCCAGCAAATAGTGTCCTAAAAATAACAAATGTGGATGAGAAAAGTCAGAATTTTAGTTCTTTATCTTTTGGGTTTTGAGCCTTAAGAGTGTACATTTGGGTCATATGTCCAGACTTACTTTCATGAGCATGGATCCTCAAATGTTATTTGAAGAAGAAAACAGACACTCTCAGGCAATCATGCCTTCAGCAGCTAGGAGTTTTTAAAAACCAACCAACCAACCAAAAAATACCGTAGCTATAAATTTTGCAAGACTACTGCAAGTCATGGTTTGGCACTCCTGCAATTTGCTTTCAAGAGGTGGACTCTGTGAAAAGATTTGGACCTGTTATAAGGGGTTTATCTGCAGGTTGGATGGCTGGGAGGCTAATGAAGCTTCCAGATCAGTAACTCCTCCAGGCCTATCAAAGAGCAAAATAGGAGAGGAAATTATGTTTTTTTGAAATATGAAAATGCAGTAGTCCAATGACAAATGTTAGCAGTGGGCCTCATGGATTTACGGTGATGGAAACCAATTTTAACTATTTTTTTGAAACTGCCTTCTTTTCCAATCTCCCTGCTGCCCCAAAACACTATTTTAAGAACATTTATGACACACTATCATAACAGCTGAAAACTTGAGAGTCTTTAAAAATGTCTTCCCATATCATCCCTATGAATGTACTGCTATTCCCTCTTTACTGAATGGAAACAAAGCCACAAAGAAGCTGAAGCCCTGATCTCCCGAAGGTCTCAGGGTTTTGGTGCCTGCATGCTCAACCCTCATACGTGCCAGATGTTTTGCTGCACACTATCTCTGCATCAGCAGGGGAGAACAACTGGATATTTACCTCACACTTACACTTGCACAAACGCCGTTAATTAATTTTCCTCTTCATTTGTTCTCTGCCATGGTCCTTAGAGCATGGGCGGCATGCAGATCTTTTCTCCCTCAGGTGGGCCCCTCAGCTGAGCTACAGAATAGCAGTTCTTTGGTCCAGTGAGTTTCAGGTTCCTCTTTGCAGAGGGGAAACCCTTTGAGGGGAATTAGGACTATCCTTCCCCCTAAAGCATGAGATGGGGGGCACTCTCCTCAGAGGTAGGATGTATGGGTTTGGATTCTTTCTGGTTTAGGAGGATGTGCAGCTTGTACATCCTACAACGTCTGCCCAAGCCACTTTGCTATTGCATAAAATAGCACTACCCTTTTAAAAGGAAAAAAATATTTCTGCTTCCAGCTTGAAAGGGAACAAATGTGTATGTCTCAGTCCTGATAATGAATACTGGGGTCTGACATAAGCAGCAGTCTACAGCACAGAGAGGTCCAGGTCCTACAAGAGGGAAGAATCACAGCTGGGGTTGTGAATTTAATTTGGGTTCCTGCTGCGCAGAAAAATGTGATAGTGATAGTCAGTTGTGAGAGAGACGTACACTATGTTTTTCTCTCCCATTTGTTTGAGACCTGTGGGGAGACTTGTAACAGTAGGAGAAATTCTTGTGTTAGTTTTCCCTGTGTTGTGAAAGGACTGTGCTATGGTGAGTGTTTCATGATACCTGCTAAGGACAAGAAAGAGTCAAACTGTTCTTCTTTATGGTTACTTTACAATACATTGAAAGCACATTCTCAATTCATTTATTTATTTTAGGTAGCAATAACAACGATACTAGATTCTAGAATTTTTGTTTGTCTTTAAAAGGGATTGTGTAGTTGTGACAAGTTTGCCAAAGCTTGAACCTGGATATGACCTTAACATGTACGTCAGAAGATCTAACTGGTAGAACCAACCAGAAGTATCAAGAAGAGGCTTGCCAATTGGCAGATTTTTTTCCTATTGTTTTTTGTCCTAATTTGTAGAAAGTTGTCATTGTTAAAAAATTCTGATTTTGTAAAGAATCAGATTATTCCATGATTGGAATGGACAAAACATAATTATTAGCCTAAAAATCACTTATAATTTAGGGATGAGAGTTCTTCAGATAACTTGGTCATGAGTTACTGAGTTAATGAAGCTATAATGTGCTTAAATGCTACAGTTTTAAATAACCATTCATGTGACTTTGAGTCTGTTTGCACAAACTTCCCACTGTTGCTTTTCCACTGCTTGCGTGGAAGTTCTTGCTTAGCAGACTACCTATGATTTTAATTTTCAAGGACTGAGGAATAAAATGGGGTAAATCTGCATCTCTATACTTTGAAGCCAACTGGTACTACCCATTATGCACTCCTTTGGCTGTAGCCCACCACGAGGTTTCAGCACAAGACAGGAGGCATTGGAGGGATGAATTTGGTCAATTTAGTTATCCTGATCAGCAGATTGATTTGACTCTATGAAGGAAAGATTTGCAGTATGTTCAAGACTTGCAAGCCATTTCTGTCTGTGATGCTTAGCTGAACTCATGAACTGGGGAATTCATCTGGGGAGCTTTAAATGCTTTGCACATGTTGATGAACTTATTTACCAAATGCACAAGGTGAGGTACCAAGTATGTATGAGACTAGAAGGCCTTGTTAATGCTGTCTTCCTGTGCAGCTCCATGGCTAGTAAGGGCAGTTCTCATAGTAATGGCATTTCCTAGCCTGTAAGCTATCAACTCAGGGCGGCGCTAGAATAAAACAGTGAAAATGCTTGCCACTGGTGTTTCTCGTTCCACTGTTTGAACTGTACTTGGATCAGGGAGTGTGGAACATGTTACAGAAAAAAATACAAGCGTGCTGAGCATCAGCAGAAGAACTAGGAAAAGACCCATGCCTCTCGTTACCACTTTCCTTTTCTGATCCACACGTGCACTTGGTACTCCTGGAAATCAAGAGAGTGGGTGCCTCAGGAACTCTGGAATGACAAGTGCTTGTGTAGAGATGTGTTTCTGGCGTGGGGTCAGGTGAGTTGCACTCAGTAGTCTGCTTAGGCCATAGCTGTGCAGTTACAGTTGCTTGTGTAGTTTCTGGCGTGGGGTCAGGTGAGTTGCACTCAGTAGTCTGCTTAGGCCATAGGCCATAGGTTACAGTATGATTAAATCTGTTGCTTCTAAGAGAAGTTACTATAGGAGAATAGAAGCCAAAATAATTATGCTGCTTCTGTCACAGGTGAGTTGCACTCAGTAGTCTGCTTAGGCCATAGCTGTGCAGTTACAGTATGATTAAATCTGTTGCTTCTAAGAGAAGTTACTATAGGAGAATAGAAGCCAAAATAATTATGCTGCTTCTGTCAACTCTTTCATATGGATGACTGTTTTTTGAACCCCTCAATTGCCCCTAATTGGCTTAGCAAAAGGAAAGCTAATGTGTTGAATTTCTGTGTGTAATGCAGCAACTTTCATTCCCTTAAATATGAGGGAAAGTGAAAGGCACCAATGGGAAGAACTAGCTGATTTTACTGGCCACTGGAATGATGCAGACGGGAGCAGTGTGACATGAGAAGCAACACATGCTGTCAGTACTGATTCCCTTCGGTTGACTTAATCCTGTGTGGTAAAAGGTGTCAAGAGATTTGAGCTTTGCATGTCCTAACTTGTTTTGAAAGGATGTAGAAGTCGTCAATGGAAGAACAAGAATGGTAGAGATTTGCTTTGAGATTGATCGCTTCACTTCCACTAATCCTGCACAGATCTATCTGCTCTGCGGTTCCCTGTGTATTCTGCCTGACTCAGGTTAGATAATTTTCTACTGCCTTGTAAGAACTGTGGGAACTGTTTTGTTTTGCCTAACGTGTTTCAGGCCAGTTCCCTCCACCTATGCCACCAAATGGATGTGACTAAGATGATTAAGTCAGGATTACTTGTGGAAGTGAATGATGATTTGCACT